GATCAATCTTGGGAGAACAGGAGGTCAGTGTTTGCACAGGGAGACAGCTGGAAGCGGGGCAGGAGTGCATGGGAGGGAAGGACACAGGGAAGAAGTAACTACAGAGAGGAAGTGGGAAGAGAGCTGTTACATTGTGGGGAATTGCAGTTAACGTAATGCGACAAAATATGTGTGAACTGCTGTATGGAAAATGAATTTGCTCTGTCAACTTTCACCCAAATCACAATAAAAATAAAAATAAAAATTAAAAAAGAAAGAAGCCTCAAAATATTAAAACTTCTTCATGTTGTTCTGATATTCTAGGACCCTTGAAATAAAGAAATCTCATGCCCTTTTCCCCACATCCTCAGGGCATGAGCTTACCTGGAACATGAGAGATCTGTGCTTGCTGTTGCCCCCAAGAATGTCTTAATCACTGGACTGTTTGGAATGAGGCTCTGCTACCCAGTAAGTTGAGTGTCTTGGCTTCTGTACTTGCAGATAAATAACTTTAGGTGTTTGGCAAGCAGCTCTAAACTATCAACCAAAATTTCCCACTCATATTTCTACATAAAGTCCATGATCATTACACACTAATAATTTTACAAAGATGTTCATTTTAGCTTTCTTTGTAATAGTGAAAATTTGGAAACAATTTAAGTTTCCATCAATAGGGAAAGGACTAAAAAATTTTGTCATAGATAAACAGCAGAATACTGTGAAGTAAAAAAAATAAGTGAAGATTTATGTGAACCAACTTGGGGAGATGTCAAAGTGTCTTTGATATACTGCTTTGTGAGGAAAGCAAACTTTTGAACAATAATGCATTACATGATTCCATCTGAGTCAAGATGTATATATAAAACTATATTTTTATGTGGAGAGTTGAAAGTCTGGAGCTCTGGCGGCATCGTGGATAAGGCTAACTGGAAGGTCAATTGTTCAAACCCACCAGCTGCTCTGCGGAAGGATGTCAGGATGATCTACTTCCGTAAAGATTTACAGCCTTGGAAACTCAGTGGGGTCGCTATGAGTCAGAAATGACTGGACAGCAGTGAGTTTTTTGGTTTGAGTCTAAGGTCTGGTAAAACAAACTGTCAACAGTAGTTACTTTTATGGAGTTGCATGGGGAAGTAGAGGACATAAGGCAGCTTTCTTTTCATTTTATGCCTCTCTATGTTGTTTGAATATTTTAAACAAGCATAAGTTAGTTTTTAGCTAAAAAATAAAGAAGAAATACAGTTACCTGTTTTCATGCTACACAGTTACAAAAATGTAACATTGTTGGACCTATAAACTGAGAATATACTTACATTTGACTTTCAGGACAGATGTTGTGGGATTTTGCCCATAGATGTCCCTTGGATGAGTCACAACTTAAAAATCAGATGTGGATGAAAGGTGGCAGAACATTTAAATTACTTTTTCCCTTCACTAACTGTTGACCTAATTCTTCGCAAAAGTTCACAAGAGACTTGACTGGAAAAATTTTATTTATCGTGCTTAGTTGTCATCAGCTTAGCTGTCATTTCCACTTCCTCTTTCTACATTATTTAAATACGGACTCTGAGCAGTAAGTAATCCTTTGAGATACTGCCTTCAAATTAAGCATATTTATAGTAATGATAATAAAACCCTAGGAAACATTCTCCTTTCAATGTCCTCTTTCCTCTCTTTTGACTCCTTTGAGTTTGGATATGTGTTTCTTTGCTGATTTTACACCAGCAAGACATAATATATGAAGGTTACATATTTTAAATGTTCTATTCAGAAAAGACCTCAGCATCATCAGCTAAGGAAAGAAATAAAAGATCCCAGGAGACCCACATTCAGTGCATGCTAATGAGCCCTATTGGTTGAGAACTCTGAAACTGAACTTTAATTAGGTAATTTAGGAAGACAGTCCAAAGAGACTCTGAAGAAGCTAACACGAGTGAATCAGTATAGGACAAAAGCCTTATGGGAACTGCAGTAATAATGATTGAAAAATAATCATAGGCAATATAGCAATAATAAGTATTTTGAGCAGTTTACTATGTGCTGGGCATAATGCTAAACAATATACCTTTATTATTTGGTTAACATCCCTGGGTGCTATAGACAATGAAGCACTCCTTGGCTACTAATTGAAAGGTTGGCATCAAGGACACCTTGCAAGAAAGGTCTGGTGATCCACTTCCAAAATATCAGCCAGTGAAAACCCAGTATATTATAAAAAATAAAGAAAGAAGCAAGGCCTACATGCGGAAAATGAAAACTTTGTTGAAAGACATAAAAGAAGAACTGACTAAATGGAGAGAGAGTGCAGGAACAGAAAGAGTAGGTATTTTGACAATGATTTTGGAAAGGTAGAACTGGCAATATCTATTAAAATTTAGTGTTCATTGCTTTCTGTGGTAGATCAGTTTGTGTGTCAATGTGGCTGGGCCTGAGTTAATGGCTGGGCAGCTGAATGTAGTATTCCTCATGATGAGACTGGTAATCAACTCCATGTTGGAATCTACTGTAAGCAGCTGAGTAGCTGCCTTAGGGAATGTGGTCTGCTTCCTGTATATAAGCAGAAGCCTTGGGGAATGGTCTCTAGCTTATTGCACCTTGAACCTTGCATGTAGCCATGTCATTGTTCAGCAGACTGCCATGCTCTGCCGACCTTGGGACCTAAAATGGACTTGAATTAATGGGCTGTTGTGTAGTTTGGTAACGTTGGAACTATGCTATTTTATTTGTCGACCTTGGGCTTGTCAGCCTCAGCAGCCAGTAGCTGCCTGAGTGAAGAGATACCTCTAGCTTCAGTGGACTGGGAGCAAGAGGCGGAGCTGAAGCCCAAGGTTGAGGGGCTTTCACCCAGCCCCTAGAGCCTGGCACTTTTAGCTCGGACTTCTAGCCTCCTGAATTGTAAGAGAATAAACTCCTGTTTGTTAAGGCCATCCCATTTATGGTATATATTCTTGTCAGAGTGGCACTAGGTAACCAGAACAAGAAGCAAGGCCTACAAGCAGAAAATGAAAACTTTGTCGAAGGACATAAAAGAAGAACTGACTAAATGGAGAGACAGTGCAGGAACAGAAAGAGTCAGTATTTTGACAATGACTTTGGGAAGGTAGAATTGGCAATATCTATTAAAATTTGGTGTTCATTGCTTTCAGCCAAGATCTATCTTGGAAGAGGTTATGGAATGAGAGATATCATTATTGAACAACAAACAAATACCAGAAATATGTGTACCTGTGTTTTATTGACCATGCAAAGGTATTTGACTGTATGGATCATAACAAATATGGATAACATTGTGAAGAATGGGAATTCCAGAACACTGAATTCTGCTCTTGCAGAACCTATGCATAGACCAAGAGGCAGTTGTTTGAACAGAACAAGAGGATACTGCATGGTTTAAAATCAATCTGTATGCTGAGCAAGTAATCCGAGAAGTTGGACACATGAAAGAAGAACAAGACGTCAGGATTGGAGGAAGACTCATTAACAACCTGTGATATGCAGATGATGTAACCTTGCTTGCTGAAAGTGGAGACAATTTGAAGCACTTACTGATGAAGATCAAAGACTATAGCCTTCAGTATGGATTACATCTCAACAAAAAGAAGACAAAAATCCTTCCAACTGGAACAATAAGCAACATTGCCATAAATGAAGAAAAGATTGAAGGTGTTAGGGATTTCATTTTACTTGGATCCACAGTCAACACTAATGGAAGCAGCAGTCAAGAAATCAGTTGACATTTATCACTGGACAAATTTGCTGCAAAAGATCTCTTTAAAACATTAAAGAGTGAAGATGTCACTTTGAAGACTAAGGTGTGTCTGACCCAAACCATAGTATTTTCAATAGCCTCATATGCATGTGAAAGCTG